TTATTTTTAGATTATGTTCTCCCTTGACTTTTATACTCTCTAAAACCCGTGAAAATAACAAAATATTTAGTGGGAAATTAATGAAAATTCATTGTCAGCTGTACGCCCATATTTAAGGAAGAATTACAAAATATGAATTTGACAATAAAGGGACATCAAATAAAAAAATTGTAATTGTATGATTACATGAGAGTACCTTGTTAATTGTACCATGATTTTTAGTTTCACTTTCTAGGTTTTGTTTTAAAAGGCGATGGCGATTTGGCGATGTCCGTCTGTCTGTTGTAATTACGCTATGTTTCGAACAAATTGAGATAGGAGGCTACAATTTTACAGACATGTTTATATTACGGCTGAGGAGGACAAAACTAACAAATCAGATGAACAATATATATATGGGAGCTATAGCTATATCTGAACCGATTTCGATCAAATTTGGCATATTTATTTTCAGGCCTAATTTGGTTGTATGTGCAACATTCCATACTGTTCGGGCTGATATTACACGTTCGGTGCACAATAAAAGGCAAATCGGACGAATATATATATGTTGGAGCTATATCCAAATTTTGACCGATTATCTCCAATTTCAATATGGTTCGTCCTTGGGCCAAACAAATGATTTGTGCAAAATCTGGATAGGGCAATAAATTCGAACTGTACTTTGTTTACAAAAATACATGGACAGATGGACGGACGGACACGCATAAATCGACTCAGAATGTGATTCTATGCAGATCATCAAAAGGAACTGTGATGGGTCTATCTCTTTTCCTTTTGCCTGTTACAGACAAATGCACAATGACATAATACCCTGACCACCTTGTGGTGTAGGGTATAAATATAGGTTTGTTCTGGCAGCGAATTTGACAACAATCATATATTTCATGAAAGAAAATTGTTTGATAAGTGTGCAAGTTTCGCTTGAAGCTTCTGTAGATTCTGCATTGTATATTAAATCTGATTGAATAAATTCGGATATGTCAATTTATCTGTAAAAAATTTCGTTTCTAAACGCGCTTTGAGGCTCTATCAGACGGAAGGTTTTTTACATACTTTGTGTCAAATTGTCCATATGTTGAAGTTAGACATATACTGTGCTAGGAGTGACATACACTCCATTTCAGGAGTGACATACATGAGAAATATATTAAAATTGGCAGCATAAATATAATAAATATCCCATCTGATAGAGCCTTTATGTATCATCACCTTTAAGTTAAGAATACATAGACGTTTTTATTAGCTTAAGGGTGAGAATACATAAAACGCTTTTATGAGTGGATAAAGTAATCGGCTGGCTTCTTCCTGGAGGAACAAAGAATTTTTAGGTTGACGTAGTTCGATTTTGGCCCTACGCACCTTAGTCCTTTTTCGAAGAAGCTAGCAGATGACTTAAGCAAGTCAAAAAAGCGTTTTATGTATTCCTCGCCCTATGCCTCTTTATTATACCCTCCCCCCATAGTATGGAGGGTATATTAAGTTTGTCATTCCGTTTGTAACACCTCGAAATATACATTTTAGATTCCACAAATCTTGATCAGCATAAAATTCTATGTCGATTTAGCGATGTCCGTCCGTCTATCCGTCTGTGGAAATCAATCTAGCTTCCGAACGAAATGAAGTAGGTGGATAAAATTTTACTCAAATGTGTATTATATGTTCAGGACTTTTGGTATTGAAAATGGTCCACTTCCATGTAGGTCCACGTCCATATAACGATACCTCCCGATATTCGGTATTTTGATGATTTAAGCGACATTATTTACCAGAATTGTTTCAAATTTGGCATTTGTAGTTCGTAATGGATACTTCAGCCTAAGACAGAAAATTTTCTGTGCAGGTTCACGTCTTCGTATAGCCCCCATATAACTGGACCTCCCGATATTCGGTATTTTGATAATTTTTGCGACATTATTTACTGGAATTGTTTCAAATTTGGTATTTGAAGTTCGTAATGAATACTTCAGCCTAAGACAGAAAATTGTCTGTGCAGTTTCACGTCTTCGTATAGCCCCCATTAAACGGTACCTCCTGATATTCGCTATTTTGATGATTTTAGCGACATTATTCACCGGAATGGTTTCAAATTTGGTATTTGAAGTTAGTGATGGATACTACAGCCTATGACGGAAAATTGTCGGTGTAGGTCCACGTCTTCGTACACCTCGATATTCGGTGTTTTGATGATTTTTGCGACATTATTTACCGAAATTGTTTCAAATTTAGTATTTGAAGTTCGTAATTAATACTATAGCCTATGACAGAAAATTATCGGTGCAGGTCTACGTCTTCGTATAGCCCCCATATAAGGGTACCCCTCGACATTTGGTATTTTGATGATTTTGGCGATATTATTCAACGGAATTGTTTCAAATTTGGTATTTGAAGTTCATAATGGATACTTCAGCCTAAGACAGAAAATGGGCCATTTAGGTCTACATTTTTGTATAGCCCCCATATAAGGGTACCTCCCGATATTCGGTGTATTGATGATTTTTGCGACATTATTTACCGAAATTATTTCAAATTTGGTATTTGAAGTTAGTAATGGATACTACAGCCTATGACAGAAAATTGTCGGTGTAGGCCCACGTCTTCGTATAGCCCCCATATAACGGTACCTCCAGATATTCGGTATTTTGATAATTTTAGCGACATTATTCACCGATTTTTTTTAAGTTTCGCATTTGAATATTGTAATGGCTTATGACAAAAGTTACCTTTGCAGGTCCATGTCGTCGTATAGATCCTAATATAACAGCTACATTCGGTATTTTTAGAATTTTAACAGAACTTTTAACGGATTTTATTGTTTTTGAGAATTGCCAAATTCGTTCTAAATGGTGGAGGGTAGAAGTCTATAAAAAGGCTCTATTGAAAACATCTCGTTTTTGCTGCGTTCTGTAGAAAGACTAAATCACACGTCAAGTTCACACTTTGATACAAAACATGTTTTAGTGCAAATATTTTCATTATCCAAATTCCACCTCTCACTTACACAGCAGTAATAGGCACAGATTTTTTAAAACATTCTCTAAAAGAATTTATCTTGCTTGATACTGAATATAGGTCATTTATTTCTCGAACAACCACTTGAAAAATGTTGAGTTAAAGAATATCCATCCTACGTGTATAATAAAATAAATACAGGGAGACATAAAAAAAAACTGCAACAAAGTCCAACGCCATATTTTTTTTTCATTTTATTGAATGAAAACAAAAAATGTCGCAAATAGCATCAAATTTTAGAATAAGTTAAGATTTGTTCGAACTGGTCACCTTTGGCACGAATTATGGCCTTCAAACGGCCAATGAAACCGTCACACGCTACCCAAATGTTGCTCTACGGTATTTTTGGTGGCCAGCGAGGAACCTCATTTTGTAACCATTCTTGGGTGGCGCGTGCTGAGTCCTGTTGGAATGTCCAAGGTCTGCGGTCAATTATATCGAAAATATTACATCACATTTTATAAGAGTTACGTTTATTCAAAATTTTGAACCTTTGTGAGGCAAGTACCTCCCTCACAAAGGTTCAAAATTTTGAATAAACATAACTCTTATAAAATGTGATGTAATATTTTCGATATAATTGACCGCAGACCTGGAGTGAATCGATATTGTCTATTTTAACACACGCCCTAACACTGATGCAAATATTAGAAATTGCAAAGTTAGGGCCAAATCGGATTACCCTAGCACTTTCTCTGCAGCAAAATATTTTTTTGACAATTTAGACCTTTTGTGGGGGAAGTACCAAAAGGAGTGAACTGATATTGCCCATCTCCGCACTCAATCTAAGTTTGATAATAATATTACGATGTACCAAATTTAGATCAAATCGAATGCTCCCTTCGAAAGTTATCGTGCACACCTTCCAGACGGACGGGTATTGCTAGATCGACTTCTGAAACGGATTTGGTCCAAAGACACCTAGCGTCTAGAACCGTTTTTCCGATGAGGCATATTTTTGCTGTATCAAATGATATGGCTGAGGGAATAGAAGCTAGAATCTTGAAATTTTGCACGAGGGTCAGTCTTGGTGCGTAGGCGTATTATAAGGCTGGGTATTTTAAAATTCGAACTTAAAGGGTTCGAAAAGTACAAAAAATCATACTTTGTATTGAACAAACGAAATGAGCCAGAATTCTGAAATTTGGAATGGGTGTCACTGATGGAGTAGAGGATAGAGGAAGGAGTTTTTGGATATTCCATTTGTTGGTACCATATGATGTTATGTAAACGGATAGAGTCAGAAATGAAAAATTTCGTTTTAATATTCGGCATTTATTCTGATGCAACTGTAGATTAATACGAGTGGAGAGCGACCATCAGCTGTAATGGCGGCCACCATCACCATGGCCGGCGCTTGAGTTCTGGTGGCCAAACGAAGGTTCACATTTTCAGCTGACCTCTTTGGCTGCTGGACAACGAAAGTTTTCTCATCGGAGAAACCCAAATTCGGCAGTTCACCACTTTCGGCCAAGCGAAGCAACTCTTTAGCTCTTTTGAGTCTATTTTCTTTCTGTTGGAATATTGCGATATGTTCAGCTCATGAGTCATTTTTCGGCCACTGCGACGCGGGTTTCGATCAAGTCGCTTCTTTACTTTTCGAACCATTTCTGCTGATGCTGCTGTTTTCTTCCGTCCACTTCCTTGACGTCGGGCTACGCTATCAGTATCACGGTAACGAGACACAAAATATTTATTCCCATTTAAATGCTGGAGTGCTCGCTCTCACGATAGCCACTTGTGGTTTGTCTAGCCAAATATAAAGAAATCACACTATCGCGCTTGAATTCTATCACGAATAACTTTTTTTCTGGAAAACTCTCACCAAAATGCTTTTGTACGCTAGGAAACAATATAATGAGCTGTCACTGGAATAATTTTAACAGTTGTCTGACGAGTGTCTTAGAAATGACAGCAGTCTGAAGTTGGTTGCAGTTTTTTCATCTCACCCTGTAACTGTTCAAATTCTACAAATTGTCAAAACCTACCTTGCGTGAAAATCATTTATGTGAATTATGGACAGGGGGAACAATTCATCTCGGTTCACCTGAGCTTGAGTGAGGCCCACTACGGCGACCAACAGAAACACCAGACAGCTGCTACGATAAAACATTTTTCAGCCGTTGTCGTTTTTTTTTTTTAAATCAACTTTAATTAAAATATTTATAACAGGTGTTATATATAAACGTTCTATTAATTAGAATACAACTATCCGGATTGTTAAGTATTAGTCCATTTAATTGTAGTTTCACTCCCCACTCAATGACACTTGTTAGCCGAACTGAAACTCGACGTTAATAAAAAAAAACGCTACGGTACGGTTCGATTTTTTCGTGGTTTCTATTGTTCCGTATAATTCGTACGTCCGTCAGAGTTGTTATAGCCCAACTGTTGAGCTGAGAACTAAAAGTCATTAACAAGCTGTGGCTGAATTTCGCCCCCCTCCAAACGACAATGTGTGGCGTTAATTCACTTCAAATTACTACAGAATATTACGAAGTGCTTAACATTGTTTAGATACGCCTGTTGATATGAGTTTTTTTTCTGTTCTTTAGGTTTTGCTATTGACATGAGTTGATGTTTTATTTTATGGGTATCGCGATATCAACGCCTTGGGTTCTGATAAGAAATCTCTATTCGAGTGAAATGCTGTTGAATATATAATTGTCGTATATTTTTTTCGCAAAAGAACTGTAAATCTATTAGCGATTAACCTGTTCAAATCCACAGCGGAAAGGTGTTAATGATGGGGGGGCCTTAATACGGTGAGAGAATTTGAGTTCTTTTAAGGAAAGAGGGCAAGAGAAGATGTGATTAGAATAACACCAATGTGGGTTCGGATTAACGTTACTTGTGGGTAGCATAACACATTTAGAAAGACAATTTACTGCCCTTGAGTAGATTCAAATGGTCAATAACTCAACAAATTTAATCGGCAGTTAGGTGTTTATATTAAAAGAACACACCTGCTTTTTGTTGACGTTGGGCGCCAGGGACATTTTACAATTTTTATACCCTCCACCATAGTATGATGTATTTTATGTCTGCAGGACTTTTGATATTGAAAATGGGCCATGTAGGTCCACGTCTTCGTATAGCCCCCATATAACGGTACCTCCCGATATTCGGTATTTTGATGATTTTAGCGTATTTATTCACCGGAATTGTTTCAAATTTGGTATTTGAAATTCGTAATGGATACTATAGCCTAAGACAGAAAATTTTCTGTGCAGGTCCATGTCTTCGTATAGCCCCCATAGAACGGTACCTCCCAATATACGGTATTTTGATTATTTTAGCGCCATTATTCAGCGGAATTGTTTCAAATTTGGTATTTGAAGTTCGTAATGGATACTATAGCCTAAGACAGGAAATTGTCTGGGCAGGTCTACGTCTTCGTATAGCCCCCATACAACGGTACCTGCCGATATTCGGTATTTTAACAATTTTAGCGACATTATTCACCGAAATTTTTTCAAATTTGGTATTTGAAGGTCGTAATGAATACTACATCCTATGACAGAAAATTTTCTGTGCAGGTCCACGTCTTCGTAGAGCTCCCATATAATGGTACCTTCCGATATCCGGTATTTTAATGATTTTAGCTACATTTTTCAACGGACTTGTTTCAAATTTGGTATACGAAGTTCGTAATGGATATTACAGCCTAAGACAGAAAATTGTCTATGCCGGTCCACTTTTTTATGATGCTAAATAATTGATAATTAAAGAATAATTAATTATCAATTATTTAGCAGTCATGATATTCCTATATTTTATATTAGTAAAATATTAACTTTTTTCACCAGAATCTGCATTAATACATTAGCACTAAATAAAATATAAAAATGGCTGATGGTAGTAGATTGAGCAAATTTGAAACCAACTTATTTAAGAATTCTTGATTTAATAAAATTTTTCAGGTGAGATAAAAAAAAAACTTCAACCAACTTCGGACTGCTGTCATTTCAAAGCCACTCGTTCGACAGCTGTTAAAATTATTACAGTGACAGCTCATTATATTGTTTACATATCACAATATTCCATTCGGCAAATATTGAAAAATTAGCTCGGGGTAAAGCCATTGAAATACCAAAAAGTGCAAGAACTTACACCGCAACAGAAAGGAAATAGACTTAAAAGAGCTAAAGAGTTGCTTTGCTTTAAAATGGCCATAACACCTTAAATATTGAGTTTTCGGCGTTTTTAGCTATTATTTGTGATCACTTTTTCAAGCATGAATTATCGAAAACTTTAAAATGGCCATAACTCCTTAAATATTGAGTTTTCGGCGTTTTTAGCTATTATTTGTGATCAGTTATTTAGGCATGAATTATCGGAAACTTTAAAATGGCCATAACTCCTTAAATATTGAGTTTTCGGCGTTTTTAGCTATTATTTCTGATCACTATTTTAAGCATGAATTTTCGAAAACTTTAAAATGGCCATAACTCCTTAAATATTGAGTTTTCGGCGTTTTTAGCTATTATTTGTGATCAGTTATTTAGGCATGAATTATCGAAAACTTTAAAATGGCCATAACTCCTTAAATATTGAGTTTTCGGCGTTTTTAGCTATTATTTGTGATCAGTTATTTAGGCATGAATTATCGAAAACTTTAAAATGGCCATAACTCCTTAAATATTGAGTTTCCGGCGTTTTTAGCTATTATTTGTGATCAGTTATTTAGGCATGAATTATCGAAAACTTTAAAATGGCCATAACTCCTTAAATATTGAGTTTTCGGCGTTTTTAGCTATTATTTGTGATCAGTTATTTAGGCATGAATTATCGAAAACTTTAAAATGGCCATAACTCCTTAAATATTGAGTTTTCGGCGTTTTTAGCTATTATTTGTGATCAGTTATTTAGGCATGAATTATCGAAAACTTTAAAATGGCCATAACTCCTTAAATATTGAGTTTTCGGCGTTTTTAGCTATTATTTGTGATCAGTTATTTAGGCATGAATTATCGGAAACTTTAAAATGGCCATAACTCCTTAAATATTGAGTTTTCGGCGGTTTTAGCTATTATTTGTGATCAGTTATTTAGGCATGAATTATCGGAAACTTTAAAATGGCCATAACTCCTTAAATATTGAGTTTTCGGCGTTTTTAGCTATTATTTGTGATCACTATTTTAAGCATGAATTTTCGAAAACTTTAAAATGGCCATAACTCCTTAAATATTGAGTTTTCGGCGTTTTTAGCTATTATTTGTGATCAGTTATTTAGGCATGAATTATCGGAAACTTTAAAATGGCCATAACTCCTTAAATATTGAGTTTTCGGCGTTTTTAGCTATTATTTGTGATCAGTTATTTAGGCATGAATTATCGGAAACTTTAAAATGGCCATAACTCCTTAAATATTGAGTTTTCGGCGGTTTTAGCTATTATTTGTGATCACTATTTTAAGCATGAATTTTCGAAAACTTTAAAATGGCCATAACTCCTTAAATATTGAGTTTTCGGCGTTTTTAGCTATTATTTGTGATCAGTTATTTAGGCATGAATTATCGAAAACTTTAAAATGGCCATAACTCCTTAAATATTGAGTTTTCGGCGTTTTTAGCTATTATTTGTGATCACTATTTTAAGCATGAATTTTCGAAAACTTTAAAATGGCCATAACTCCTTAAATATTGAGTTTTCGGCGTTTTTAGCTATTATTTGTGATCAGTTATTTAGGCATGAATTATCGGAAACTTTAAAATGGCCATAACTCCTTAAATATTGAGTTTTCGGCGTTTTTAGCTATTATTTGTGATCACTATTTTAAGCATGAATTTTCGAAAACTTTAAAATGGCCATAACTCCTTAAATATTGAGTTTTCGGCGTTTTTAGCTATTATTTGTGATCAGTTATTTAGGCATGAATTATCGAAAACTTTAAAATGGCCATAACTCCTTAAATATTGAGTTTTCGGCGTTTTTAGCTATTATTTGTGATCACTATTTTAAGCATGAATTTTCGAAAACTTTAAAATGGCCATAACTCCTTAAATATTGAGTTTTCGGCGTTTTTAGCTATTATTTGTGATCAGTTATTTAGGCATGAATTATCGAAAACTTTAAAATGGCCATAACTCCTTAAATATTGAGTTTCCGGCGTTTTTAGCTATTATTTGTGATCACTATTTTAAGCATGAATTTTCGAAAACTTTAAAATGGCCATAACTCCTTAAATATTGAGTTTTCGGCGTTTTTAGCTATTATTTGTGATCACTATTTTAAGCATGAATTTTCGAAAACTTTAAAATGGCCATAACTCCTTAAATATTGAGTTTTCGGCGTTTTTAGCTATTATTTGTGATCAGTTATTTAGGCATGAATTATCGGAAACTTTAAAATGGCCATAACTCCTTAAATATTGAGTTTTCGGCGGTTTTAGCTATTATTTGTGATCAGTTATTTAGGCATGAATTATCGAAAACTTTAAAATGGCCATAACTCCTTAAATATTGAGTTTCCGGCGTTTTAGCTATTATTTGTGATCACTATTTTAAGCATGAATTTTCGAAAACTTTAAAATGGCCATAACTCCTTAAATATTGAGTTTTCGGCGTTTTTAGCTATTATTTGTGATCAGTTATTTAGGCATGAATTATCGAAAACTTTAAAATGGCCATAACTCCTTAAATATTGAGTTTCCGGCGTTTTTAGCTATTATTTGTGATCACTATTTTAAGCATGAATTTTCGAAAACTTTAAAATGGCCATAACTCCTTAAATATTGAGTTTTCGGCGTTTTTAGCTATTATTTGTGATCACTATTTTAAGCATGAATTTTCGAAAACTTTAAAATGGCCATAACTCCTTAAATATTGAGTTTTCGGCGTTTTTAGCTATTATTTGTGATCAGTTATTTAGGCATGAATTATCGGAAACTTTAAAATGGCCATAACTCCTTAAATATTGAGTTTTCGGCGGTTTTAGCTATTATTTGTGATCAGTTATTTAGGCATGAATTATCGAAAACTTTAAAATGGCCATAACTCCTTAAATATTGAGTTTCCGGCGTTTTTAGCTATTATTTGTGATCACTATTTTAAGCATGAATTATCGAAAACTTTAAAATGGCCATAACTCCTTAAATATTGAGTTTTCGGCGGTTTTAGCTATTATTTGTGATCAGTTATTTAGGCATGAATTATCGATAACTTTAAAATGGCCATAACTCCTTAAATATTGAGTTTCCGGCGTTTTTAGCTATTATTTGTGATCACTATTTTAAGCATGAATTTTCGAAAACTTTAAAATGGCCATAACTCCTTAAATATTGAGTTTTCGGCGTTTTTAGCTATTATTTGTGATCACTATTTTAAGCATGAATTTTCGAAAACTTTAAAATGGCCATAACTCCTTAAATATTGAGTTTTCGGCGTTTTTAGCTATTATTTGTGATCAGTTATTTAGGCATGAATTATCGGAAACTTTAAAATGGCCATAACTCCTTAAATATTGAGTTTTCGGCGTTTTTAGCTATTATTTGTGATCAGTTATTTAGGCATGAATTATCGAAAACTTTAAAATGGCCATAACTCCTTAAATATTGAGTTTCCGGCGTTTTTAGCTATTATTTGTGATCACTATTTTAAGCATGAATTATCGGAAACTTTAAAATGGCCATAACTCCTTAAATATTGAGTTTTCGGCGGTTTTAGCTATTATTTGTGATCACTATTTTAAGCATGAATTTTCGAAAACTTTAAAATGGCCATAACTCCTTAAATATTGAGTTTTCGGCGTTTTTAGCTATAATTTGTGATCAGTTATTTAGGCATGAATTATCGAAAACTTTAAAATGGCCATAACTCCTTAAATATTGAGTTTTCGGCGGTTTTAGCTATTATTTGTGATCACTATTTTAAGCATGAATTTTCGAAAACTTTAAAATGGCCATAACTCCTGAAATATTAAGTTTTTAGCCATTATTTGTGATCAGTTATTTAGGCATGAATTATCGAAAACTTTAAAATGGTCATAATTCCTGAAATATTGAGTTTTCGCCGTTTTTAGCTATTTTTTGTGATCATGGTATATTTATTTTTTCACTAGAGAATAATAATACTTCAATCTCTGAGAAAAAAATTGATGAACAATTTTTACTTAGCTCCACTAGCAAAACCTCCCCATTCATTCATCAGACTTTCACTGTATGTATGTTTATACCCTCCACCATACATAGTATGGAGGGTATATAAAGTTCGTCATTCCGTATGTAGCTCATCGAAATAATAATTATACCCTATATCGGTCCACGATATCGTATAGCTCCCAAAAAACGGTACCCCCCGATATTCGGTATTTTGATGATTTTAGGTACATTTTTCCATGGAATTGTCTGAAATTCTACACAAGGAGTTCTATGTGGGTACTTTACCGCCCGTGATAGAATTGTCTATATAGGTCCACGATATCATATAATCCCCATGTAACGGTACCTCCAGATGTTCGGTGTTTTGATGATTCTAGGCACTTTTTACCATGGACTTGTCTTAAATTCTACAAAAGGAGTTCTATGTGGGTATGGTACAGGTCCACCATGTCGTATATCCCCCATACAACGGTACCTCCCGATATTCGGTATTTTGATGATGTAGCAAAAGTTTTCAATGGATTTGTCTGAGAATCCACACCAGGAGTTGCTTCTGAGTACTTTACTCCCTGAAAGAGAATTGTCTATATAGGTTCACGATTAAGTATAGCCCCCATATATCGACACTCCCCTATATTTGGTTTTTTGATGATTTTACGCACGTTATTCATCGGAGTTTTTTCAAATTTCGTTTTTGAAGTTCGTAATGGATACTACAGCCGATGACAGATAATTGTCTATGCAGGTTCAGGTCTTCGTATAGCTCGATATAACGGTACTTCCCTATATGCGGTATTTTTATGATTTTAGCTACATTGTTCTCCGTTTATTTCAATATTCGAATTTGAATATGGTAATGGCTTATGACAACGATGCCTATGTAAGTCCTCGTCCTATAGATGCCAATATAATGGCTATATTCGGTATTTTTAAGATGTTTACAGCATTTTTTATTTTTTGAAAATTTCCAAATTCGTTCCAAATGGTGGATGGTATTACTTAACTTTCTGCTTTTTAACTTGTTTTTTTTTTTTTTTTTTTTAATTGCCAAATTCGTTTCAAATGGTAAAGGGTATTCAAAGATCGGCCCGGTGGATGACGTGCAAGCGTTTCGAAGCCTAGATCCGATTGCAGTCATTCTGTTGATTGCATTCCTTAAGCCCAGATCAGTGTAAATTTCATAATTTTCATTTTTAAATAAAATTCCATTTTAATACATATTTTTTTAAATATATTTGCATATCTTTTTTTTTTTTGTTAATTTTTTACATTATAACACATACATATTGTGATTCTTGTTAGATATCTTGCACATTACAATTGGATTCTGGTTCTGGTTAAGTTTTTTTTATAAATTTTACAACAAATTTATTTGTTTCATTCCAATTAATCATTATTTATATTTATTTCACTTAAATTAAAACAAAAGAATTCAAATATTTATAGGTTAGGTTTAATTTTTTTTTTTTTTTTTGGGAAATTCAAATGTGTAATTTAAATGCCGGCAATTTTTCGGGGCTTCAAAAATTCATAAAACAAAGCCATAAAATGTATGAGAGAGTGAAGGGACGTGGGGGAATGGGAATAGAAAATTTAGTAGCAGTAGCCAGTTAGGAATGGGAAAGTATTTTTCTTTCCCTTTCTTCTGGGTTTTCTCTTTATACATTTTAGATTTTTTCGTGTATTATAATTCAATTTTTACTTCTCTGCCATGGGTTAGTAATTAAAATTCAATTCAAGTGGCGTTCAGTTCTCTTTTATCGTCGTTTCTTTTATAAAAACTAAAAACGACTTAAAAAAATAATTTGATTTCACTAAACTAAAAACTAAATTGGTTTGTAATCAAGACTACTATAGATATATGCATATACATAAATACATTATAAATGTATGAATAAAAAATTATTAGTTATTACTACATTGCAATAGGATTTTTTATTTATTTATTTTTTTTTAATAAAAACAAAAAATAAAAATTTTAAAATAATAAGTCAATATTGTTGCTTTTTTTAATAACACTGTTCAACATATTTTTTTTTTTTTTTTTGGAATTGAATTGGTATTCTTGTTTTAATGATCGATTTTAACCATGGGGTATATCGACATCTCCCGAAAAAATATTGAAATATCACACTACTGCCATAAGGAAAATACGAATACCACAAAACGTCCACGTTTGTTTGTTTTCAAGATTTTTCCATTCGCAGAGATTCACATGAAATAGATTTTTAAAATCTAAATCTATTTTTTTCATTCAATGATGCTTTCAGGCGTTCATACTACAATCGAGGATTACGTTCCATAGAAATCATATCGATCTATATAAATTACATAGAGTAACACCTGATGACATAGGCATGTTAATATAAAATAAGTTAAAAAGTACATCTCAGTTTAGCCGACAGATGTATGCCCTCAGCCCATGTTCGATTATTGAAATATATTTTGACTTGTGTTATGATTATTCAAATTGTTGACCTTCTATGCAATAGGTTCTGAAGTAATGGGCCAATCTTGTTCATTTTGTATCAGACCAATTTTATGCGAATTCATAAATTTCATATTCATCACAGGTTTTTGGTTGAAAGTAATATTTAGACATAGCTAAAAGTATTGAATATATGAATATATATATATATATATATATATATATGTCATTTTCTAAACAGATCTTCTGTTAACGAAAGTATTTGTATGTGTAAAATATTCAAAATATTGAACCCTATGTGGGGAGGTACCACAAGAAATAGTCCGATTTCTACCATCTTTACAAGAGATCTTGTGCTGATGGAAACATTGCGATGTACCAATTCTGAATGGAATCGAATGTTAATTTCGCGTATTATGATCTTCATGGATATTAAAAATTTGGACCCTTGTGGGAGAGGCACCAGAAGCAGTGGTACGATTTATACCATCATATAACACATCTTGTGTTGATGGAAATATTCAGATGTACCAAGATGTTAATTTCGCGTTTTATGAGCCTAATGGATATTCAAATTTTCGACCTTTTGTGGGGGAGGTACCAGAAGGAGTGCACCAATATATTCCATATTCACACCAGAACTTGGGTTAATAAAAATATTTTAATATGTGTAATTTGAAGACAATCGGACTCTTACATGACATTTTATAAAAGGTGTAATTATTCAAAATGTTGACCGTTTGTGGGGGAGGTACTTGATGGAGTGGACCGATATTTTCCATTTTTGCACATGACGTAGCACTGACGCAAATATAAGGATTTGCAAAGTTGGAGCTAAATCGGATTATCCTTTCTCTTTCTGTGCAAAAATAATATTTTTTGAAAATTTCGACCTTTTGTGGGGGAGGTACCAGAAGGAGTGGACCGATAAATTCCATCTTAACACCAGACCTTGGGTTAATAAAATTATTAGGATATGTGAAATTTAAAAACAATCGGACTTTTACATCACATTTTATAAGAGTTGTAATTATTCAAAATTTTGAACGTTTGTGGAGGAGGTACTTGATGGGATGGACCGATATTGTCCATTTTTGCACCTGACGTAGCATTGATGCAAATATTAGGATATGCAAAGTTGGAGCAAAATCGGATCATCCTTTCTCTTTCTGTGCAATAAAATATTTTCTTGAAAAATTTCGGCAGTTTGTGGGGGAGGTTCTAGAAGGAGTGGACCGATACTACTCATCTCCGAACTCGATCTAAGTTTAACAATAATATTACGATGTACCAAGATTGGACCAAATCGGATACTCCCTTCGAGAGTTATCGTGGACACCAGCCAGCCAGATAGACGAACGGACGGACGGATATCGCTAGATCGACTCCAAATGTCCTGAAACGGATTTGGTCCAAAGAGACCTGTGATCGAAAATCACTGCAAAATATGGGAATTTCTATTCCAATACCGTTTCCCTATAGTCTTACATTAGGTAATTTCTGATTCTTTAGGTTCACAATTTTTAAGTTAACAATTTCTAATATCTCCAGTTTTCTAAAAATTGAAAAAATAATTTCCCAAAAATCAAATCTTTCAATAGAATTTAATATTATATATATTATATTTCCCATATTTCAATGAATTCCGAAATGTGAATATCCTCCATTTTAATCTTTCTTCGCTTCACTTGTCTCAAAAATATGTTGCAGTGCGTTTCTTTTTTAGTCAAATTTCAAACAAATTAAACGACTCATTGAATAAGATATTCAAAATCAAAAATATATATATTAAACAAATCAAATCAAAGCTTTTGAAAACAAATTCCAAATCATTTTTTTTCCAAGAGAAAATAAAATTAAATACAAAATAAAAAAAAAGGAAAACAAAATATATAAAAAAAAACTGTTGCTGCAGGAAAATTGTGATTTTCCAAATTCACAAAAATATATGATAAATTTTACAAATATATATATCGCTATGTATGTATATCAAGTCATTATTTTAAGCAGGCTTATGTAGAATAAAACAAATATATTTTTGGTGATTTGCATTAAAGTTAGGATGTGGTGTTGGTTGGTTGCTTGCTTGGGTTTGGGCGGCTCATGAGAAACAATGATGATGATGGTGATGGGGGCAATGAATAGTTTTGTTTTTTTCATTTCATTTTCTTTTTGTTTTTTTTTTTTTTTATGATAAGCACAACTACTTAAAATTTATGTATTTTTTATATATAATTCTTACGATCATATTTTCTATGTTATATCCATTAATAATTGCCTTTCTAGTTTTTCTCGTTTCATAATTTTCTTAGCTTATCCTATGTTTTTTTTTTTTCTTTTACAGTGGCTCTGGTAATTTATCTAATATTTGTGAATAAATTTAAAACAGATTTATTCTCTTTTTGACTCCTTGCTTTGCTGAACACATTCCAAAAACGCAATGTCTCATCGCCGGCCCCTGTGACGATGGCCTCGCCATCGGGACTCAAAGCCAAATAGAGAACACGATATGAGTGGCCCGTCAACTTGGCCACCTGTGTCAGTGATGGATATTTCCACACCAAAATTTGATTTTGTGAATAACCATGTGTCGACACGAGTTCCGACGAGTGCTTTGACCAGGCCAAATTACAAACTTGTGATCCGGTATCAACACATTGCATTGGCTGTCCGGTGAGGGTGTTCCAGAAGCGTATGCAACGATCTGCAGTACCGCCACCACTTGCCAACAAACCATGGTGATGGGGTGACCAGGCAATTGCCTTAACAGCTGCCATATGTTCAGTATAGGATTGCACAGGATTAAGAGAATGTTGATTCCAAACATAGAGACGATTGTCATTGCCACCACTGGCCAAGTATTGATTGTCTGGAGACCACTTGAGGCCACACACCTCTTGACGATGTCCCACTAGACGTCGCTCTGATTGTTGGGCTGGTGTTCGGGTATCTCGTTGTATAATAAGGCGATCACGTGAACCACTTGACAGTATATCACCATTCCAGGCCAAGGCACCAACCCGAGCAGAGTGGCCTTTTAATTTGTTGATCTGTAATGGAAGGAGAAAATGTTTAATGCATAAGACCGAATATGAATAAAATAGAATAAATCGAAAATGCATCAAATCGGAATTTTGGTAACAACCACTAACGTGTCGCGAAGGACAAAAACATGAATTCCATAATATAATAGAATTTATATCAGGAGGTATTCCTTTTAAATTACGCCTGAAAGTTTGCGTTAACAAAGGTATATTTATATAAGATATGTCAAAATTTCTAAATTTTTTTCTCCTAAAATAAGTAGATTTTTATAAGTTTTCTTATACAACACCAATCGAAGGTTGTTATGATATGCATTTTCAACAATTTTTACAAATTTGAATAATTTTTCATTCAAAATTATCAATTTCCAAATTGGTTTGACAGTTCATTGTCCCAGCAGCTGTGTTGATGCGACTACCTCTATTCTTCTACCATGTAAGCTTTATTAGACCATTGCTTAAGAGTTTGCAATATTTATTTCTTGTTTTTTTTTTTTTTTTAAAATTAAAAATTCGATTTTTTAAAAAAAGGTGTTCCTTTATCTTAAACTACTCCCAGATTATTTTGTGTATAATAAGTATGTCTGTTAAAAGAGAAACAATGCAAAGCAATCAGAATTTTCTCAAATCTAAAGCATACTTTTAGGCTGAACAAAAAATTGTAGCAACCAACAAATGTTGAGAGACATTCCACCTTCACTGCTTGTTGGGAACACATTTCAACATAGCCAAAGACGTGTTATCCGTTGAAATTAAATTTTCAAAATTTGAAAGGAGGAAAGTGAGATCTTTAAAAATTCTCATAGATTCCTCCATGGTTTCCAAATTTTCAAGTGTTGTTTTAGTCTTTTGCGAGGCAATCAAATGTTTTAGACATTTTTCTTGTCTTTTTTGATTTGAACTGTCTCTCAGAATTTTTATTTCTTTTCGAGACATTTTCTGGTAACCTCCAAGACTTGAAAACTTAATTTCCTAGCCCCCCTCCTCCTCTCTGCTTTAAAATTGGAATTAGTCAAATCACCTCAAAGCGTTTAAAAGTTGTATTGTCCAGATGTTTTCTGGTCTCCGCTAAGGCTTTCAGATTTGGTCCGGAAGGTTTCTAGTTAACATGGCGGACCTGCACCTTCTCAGTTTTCTGAACAACTGCAGATATGTATGGAGGTTATATTAAGTTAGTCATTCCGTTTGTAACACCTCGAAATATACCTTTGAAACCCCACACTATATATATATTCTTGATCAGCATAAAATTCTATGTCGATTTAGCGATGTCCGTCCGTCTGTCCGTCTGTTTAAATCACTCTAGCTTCCGAACAAAATGAAGTAGGTTGATAAAATTTTACTCAAATGTATATAATGTCTGCAGGATTTTCGGTATTGAAAATGGGCCATATAGGTCCACGTTTTCGTATAGCCCCCATATAATGATACCTCCCTATATTCGGTATTTTTGTGATTTAAGCGACATTGTTAAGCGGAATTGTTTCAAATTTGGTATTTGAAGTTCGCAGTGGATACTACAGCCTTAGACAGAAAATTGACTGTGCAGGTGCACATCTTCGTATAGTACCCATATAATGGTACTTCCCCATTTTCGGTATTTTGGTAATTCAAGCGACATTATTCACCGGAATTGTTTCAAATTTGGTATTTGGAGTTCGTAATGGATACTACAGCCTAAAACAGAAAATTGTTCGTGCAGGTCCACATCTTCGTATAGCCCCCATATAATGATACCTCCCTATATTCGGTATTTTGGTGATTTAAGCGACATTGTTAAGCGAAATTGTTTCAAATTTGGTATTTGAAGTTCGTAGTGGATACTACAGCCTTAGACAGAAAATTGTCTGTGGAGGTGCACATCTTCGTATAGCCCCCATATAATGGTACCTCGGTATTTTGGTGATTTAAGCTACATTATTCACCGGAAATACTTCAAATTTGGTGTTTGGAGTTCGTAATGAATACTACAGCCTAAGACAGAAAATTGTCTATGCAGGTCCACGTTTTCGTATAGGCCCGATATTCGGTACGTATACGTCCCGATATTCGGTACTTTGATGATTTTAGCTACATTATTCACCGAAAATGTTTCAAATTTGGTATTTGAAGTTCGAAATGTATAGTACAGCCTGTGACAGAAACTTGTCTGTGCAGGTCTACGCCTTCGTATAGCCCCCATATTATGGTACCACCCTATTTTCAATATTTTGGTGATTTAAGCGATATTATTCACCGATTTTTTTCAAGTTTCGCATTTGAATATTGTAATGGCTTATGACAAAAGTTGTCTATTCAGGCCCACGTCGACTACATTACATTCGGTATTTTTAAGATTTTACCAGAATTTTTAACGGTTTTTTTTTTGAAAATTGCCAAATTTGTTCCAAATGGTGGAGGGTATTTAAAGTTCGGTGCGGCAGAATTTACAGCTATTTTGCTTGTTTCCGTTAGAATTTTTCAGTCCCGAGCATTTCATTTTTTGAGAAACAAAGAAATTTCTAGTCTCCTCCAAGAGGCTAAAACGTGAAACTTTGGAAAAAAAAACTTTCCAAAAAACGTTTCGGTCTCCTCTAAATATAGGGGGCTCATGAGTGCCAAAAATTTTCACTGATTTCGCAGCTAATAAATATCGAGAAGGTATTTCTGCTAGTTTTTTTTCCTACATCATTAGCTTGGTAGAATTCTGGGAATTTTTGATTCTCAAACGCGAGGAAAATACATCCCGTAGAAGAAGGTCTTAGTAAATCTCTGACTTTGACGAATTTATGGTCGCGTTTTCATGTTGTCTCAAAGGGAAGGGGTGCATTTGAAAAAAGAAAATGAAGAAACATTATTCTAAGGTTATCAACTTAGAAAGTCTTTGGAATTTTCGATTCTCAAATCAAATTAAGTTTTTCCAAGGGGTTTAATATCTATCTGTGTTGTATTTCTTGATTCCATTTGAACAGTGTTGGCTTGTTTGTTCGGAATGCCATTAATATTTTGTTGTTGCAAAATGGCCAGGCTTAATCCCATTGTTGTTGTTTTTATAAAAATACAAAAAGGCAATTTTTCAAACTAAAGAGTTAAATATATAGGAAAAAGCCAGAGAGCGACATGGCTGATCTGGAAAAATCAGTTCTCTAATGTATTGACCCTTTTTCGGAACAAAACCAACCAGGAAAAATCATTTGATGTGTTCGCCACCCCTAAGATTCCCATTCATTGTGTTTCTGTTACCAGAACCATTGTAGCCTAGTCGCAGATAAAGACTCTTCTTTCCCCCCTCTTCTGTATGAAAAACAAAACTCTTCTTTTAAACGAAAAATAAATATGAATTCCACGTACCTGTTTACTAGCTGCCACATCCCATACCATAACATAGCCATGATGCGTGCCAACAGCTACCAAATTGCCACGTTCATTCCACGATACCGAGGTGACGGTATTTGCATCTGTGGTGAGATCACACAAACGTGTTACCTAAAACAAACAAAAAATTCAGAAAAAAAAAAAACAAATTAATATTTAAAGAAGAAATAAATAATAGAAAATTTAAATTATTTGCAAAAGAATGGGAAGAAGGCCATTAGGCCAAAGTAAATATGTAACCATCAAATATGGTTCGGGACTTGTTTTGCAAATAATATTTAAATTGACCAACTTACTTGACTTGTGCAGGCACTCCATAGGTAAACACAACTACCTAAACCCACGGCCAAGACGTTTTGTGATGACCAGTCAACTAAATTTAAATAGAAATCATCTTGTAATTCAGGGGCATCTAAGACCTGGGAAAGATGAAAAAGAGCGGGATATTAGTATTTTGACTTAAATTTGGTAAACATAACACAACTTCTTACTTTAAAGGGGATTCGTGATATTTTCCTTGTTGCCTTTCTCGGTGACCTTAGCAGTTTTTGACTTTTCGTACTAACCGGCGACAAAGAATAGGGACATTGTTCATTGAAATCCTAAAATGAGAGAAGAAAGGAAATTATTTTAGAAATTAAATAAAGTTGTGTATTTTTTTTTTTTTTTAATTTTAAGTTATTGATGTATTTATGTTGTATTTTTAGCAGCTTCTTCATCAATCTGCCTCATATTTGCTGTACAAATAATTTGTTTATTTAAGTGCCATACAACAGTTGCTTAATTAACAAGCCAATGTGAAATATTTTCAAGGGAAAAGGTAAAGAGAGGAATACGCAGGGTGAGATGAAACAACTGCAACCAACTACAGACTGCTGTCATTTCTAAGCCACTAGTCCGAAAGCTGTTAAAATTACTCCAGTGACCGGTCACAAAAGCATTTTGGTGAGAATTTTCCAGAAGAAGAGTTTTTCGGAATGGAATTCAAGCGTGATGGTGTGATATCTTTATATTTGACTGGAAATCCGCAAGTGGCTATCGTTAGAGCGAGTACTCCAGCATTTAAATGTGAATAAATCTTTTTTGTCTCGTACTATCGTACCTCGTTACCGTACTATCGTACCTCGTTACTGGTTGTTGTTGTAGCAATAGTACATGCAAGTGTTCGCGTTTTGCTAATCTGGTTCAAGCTCCAGTTTTAGAAATTCGGCTACTTTAATAGGCTGTAGCCAGAGATCTTCTGGAGTGAGTTGGATAAGTTTGGCTATGTAATTGAAGAGGTGCAGCGAATTGTGCGGGCCTGTATCACACGTCGGGCAGGCGTCACGCACGTCTTCATCAATTCGTGCCCAATACGAATTGAGATGACTACACCATCCTGAACGTAATTGCGCCAAAAACTACCTTGGTTTATCTAGGCAGCTGACGTTCTTTAGCTGCTCGACGTCAAGGAAGTTGACGGAAGAAAACAGAAACAGCAACATCATCAGAAATGGTTCGAAAAGTAAAGAAGCGACCCGCGATCGAAACCCGCATCGCACTGGCCGAAAAATGGCTTGTGAGCTGATCATATCACAATATTCCATTCGGCAAATATTAAAAAATGAGCTCGGGCGGATAAAGCCATTGAAATTCCCAAAAATGCAAGAACTTACACCGCAACGCAAAGAAAATAGCCTCAAAAGAGCTAAAAAGTTGCTTCGCTTGCCGAATTTGGTTTTCTCCGATGAGAAAACATTCGTTGTCCAGCAGTTTGTAAACAAACCACATGATTGTATTTACTTGCCAAAGAGATCAGCTGTGAATGTGCACCTTCGGTTGGCCACTCAAGCGCCGGCCATGGTGATGTTATGGGCCGCAATAACAGTCGATGATCGCTCTCCGCTCGTATTAATCAAATCGTCTGTGGCATCAGAATAAAAATATTCTGGAGGGTTATTAAAGGCTTGGACACGCAAACATTTTGGCCGCAGGCCTTGGACATTCCAATAGCACCATCGGTTGGCCACCAGAACTCGGCCATGGTGATGGTGTGGGCCGCCATAACAGCCGATGGTCTTTATCCGCTCGTAATAATGGACCGTGGCATCAGAATAAATGCCGAATATTATGGCGAAAATATTCTGGAGGCTGTATTAAAGCCTTGGGCACGCAAACATTTTGGCAGCAGACCTTGGACATTCCAACAGGACTCAGCACGCGCCACCCAAGAATGGTTACAAAATGAGGTTCCTCGCTTCATTTCCAGCGCACAATGGGGCCACTAAAATCTTCGGATACCAATCCGTTGGACTATTGTGTCTGGAGTAATTTGGAAAGCAAGGTTGGCACTAAAAAAACACCAAAGTGTCGGTAACCTCAATCAAGCTCTTCGTCGGGAATGGGCCAAAATACCGGGCAGAGCAACATTCGGGCAGTGTGTGACGGTTCAGTCATTGGCCGTTTGAAGGCCATAATTCGTGCCAAAGGTGTCCAACTTGAACAAATCTAAACTTTCTAAAATTTGATGCTAATTTCGACATTTTTTGCTTTCATCCAAAAAAAATTTAAAAAATGTAAAAATTATGGCGTTTGAATGGGCAAAAATACCGCAGAGCAACATTCGGGCAGCGTGTGACGGTTTAGTCATTGGCCGTTTGAAGGCCATAATTCGTGACAAAGGTGACCAATTCGAACAAATCTAAATTTATTCTAAAATTTGATGCTATTTCCGACATTTTTTTGCTTTCATCCAAAAAAAATTTAAAAAAAAATTTAAAAATTATGGCGTTTGACTTTGTTGCAGATTTTTTTTATCTCACCCTATATTTTTAAAATACCTCATAATTAGGGAAATCCGAACATGAAGAGAAAATTTGGTATTAGATTTGAAAATGATAAAATTTGCACAAAAAATCCTAGCAGGGTATCGCATAGTCGGCTTGGGCCAATCGTTTAAACTCCACATTTCTTCTTATTTCATGTTTACATATTCCAATGCCCAAGAAAATCCAAAAATAATAATTTAAATAAACTACCTGTGATTCCAAATCGATTATTCATTTGACAGCTAAGGGTCCCCCCTGTTTTTGGGCAGCTTTTATTAGGCCATAAAACACTTCACGCCAACACCAAACACAAAAAAACGACAACAACTCAAACAAGTTTGCCGGCTTTACAATAAAAAGTCTCGTTTATTAAGCACCGCCCACAGTCAGTGATAATCCCCTCTCAAAATTCCCTCAACGAGCAGACAAAACAAACGAAAAAATACAAAAAAAAAAGAAATCCAAGACATGTCATTGGCTCCGAAACTTATGCTGCCGATTGATCTCACAGAGCAAATGAAACGTGCAGACAAGACAATGATTTGATTTTTTTCACAGATGGAATCACTTGGAAAAGGGGGACAGAGACTTTTGGATCACCAATACGAAGAATGGAATCACTTGGAAAAGGGGGACAGAGACTTTTGGATCACCAATACGAAGAAGTCCCCCCTTTATTTTCAGTTCATGGCTTTGTTTTATTTTTGATTTTTTACTGGGAGGGGGACCAGAAATAATGTCTTTGATTGTCTCCTCTTGATTTATTTATGGCTTAATGTTGGATGGGAGACAAAATGCAAACACTTTCTGTCTGGGAGCAACAATCGTCAAATAAAGAATCTGAAAGCTTAGACAAGTGCGCTATGTATTACTTCATTGGATATAAATAGAGGTAATGGAAATGCATTGGTTGAACGGAAAATAATGTTAAAAGGCGGCAATTGATTGGAAATACTTGAAGACTCTAACATTTTCCCAATAACAAATTTTCACAAAAATAATCTTGAGAAAATTTTAAAAATTTCCAAAAAATTTTATATTTTTTTTTTCATAAAAAATCAAGGTCTATTTTTGTGGTATCATCATTTCCCACATTTTCATTGAGTTTTTATTCTCTCAGCATAACATGCAATGCCAAAAAAAATTAATGACTTCATATCTTCTTAACAATTTTACAGTTTATTCTGCGGTTTATTTATCGATGAGGGAAAGAATAATAAATCTGCAAAAATTGATCAATGGTAATTTTGGTGTGAACATGTAAAACCACAAGTTCCCTTTTGCTTAATGGGGAAACTAGATTCATAATTTGCTATTTCATGACCACTTCCTGTGATAATTGTAGAAAACAGATAATAAAAAAGGGATTCGGTCGAGACGAATTTCATAGATCGTTGTACACCATGAGAGAACAAAAACATATTTAACAAAAACATATTTAATATTTGATGAAGAAGCCATTGGTGTAAATAAAGCTTTCTAAAGAAATACCAAATTCACGGCCTCACGCTTATTACACGGTGTGAACATCCTGACTTCTTAGATGTAGCAACGGCCTGGAGCAATTTTACGTGGAGTAATTTGACATTAAGCATCTATTACTGTTAAATAAGATAGAGCGGACATTCCAACAGGACTCAGCGGAATCGCACTCAGCACGCGCCACCCAAGAATGGTTACAAAATGAGGTTCCTCGTTTTATTCCCAGCGCACAATGGCCACCAAAATCGCAGGATACCAATCCGTTAGACTATTGTGTCTGGAGTATTTTGGAAAGCAAGGTTGACACTAAAAAAACGCAAAGTGTCGATCACCTCAAGCAAGCGCCTCGCCGGGAATGGGCCAAAAAACCTCAGAGCAAAATTCGGGCAGCGTGTGACGGTTTCATCGGCCGTTTGAAGGCCATAATTCGTGCCAAAGATGACCAATCCGATATTTTTTGCTTTTATTCAACAAAATTTAAAAAAAAATGTAAAAATTAAGGCGTTTGACTTTGTTGCAGTTTTTTTGTTATCTCACCCTGTATAGCAACTACAGGAGCTATTTTTATTTTTATAAAATACAAGCTAAGAAAGTATCCGTACTCGTTATAAAGTTGGAGACATTGGGGAAGTATACAAACGATTTTTTCAATACGTGGCGCCCAATGTAAAACGATTTATTGCTTCAGGGCAATGGATGTTTCAATAAAATTTTGAAGTCTTCCAACGTGTATAAAATTTAAATAAATTCTTAAGGGGCTCTTGAAGACATCCAAACGTGATTTAAGGGCTCCTAATACCACCCAAATGTAGATTTTGAAATAGAATTTTGAAGAGCTCATAAAGCCTGCGAAAAACATACAAACTTGGATTAAATAAAATATTGCGAGAGTCCTGACGTCTTTTAAACGTGGATTTAAAATAAAAAGCTGAGTGGCTCCTGAAGACATTCGAGCGTAGATTACACAATTTTGAAGTGTTTTAGAAGACTTTTAAACGTCGAAGTTTAAATACTATTTCGAATTTTAATTAACAAATCGAATTCTAAATTAAGGCGAAGCTTTCCAAACGTGGTTAAAAATGATTGAGGCTTTCGAATGTTGATTTTAAAACAACATTTTCAAGAGCTCCTCAAGGCTCCGAAAATTTTGAGAGTTCACCAAAACTCCCCAATAAATGTTTGAGGGGCTCTCAAAGCCTCCCAAACGTGGATTTTAAACAAGTTTTTTAGGAAATCTTTTCAATTATCCAAAAGTGTATTTTCAAATAAAACTATGAGAATCTACTTAAACCCAAAGGGATCCCGAAGCATCC